GCATGTCTGCCTCAGTGTGTATGCGACCAGCCAGGGTACTTGTATGTTTGGGAGCCCCCCAGGGCCGGTACTTGTCTGTGGTCGTGACTTCGAGGTTTGCAGCGGGGAAGTACCTCCGCCACTCTCCTCCAGTCCACCGTCGACCTCCTCCTCCAAGCTGGGCGGCACGCCATAGCCAGGCTGAGCGCCCAGCTCTCCTCTTCCTCCCTTAGCACTGCCTACACCAGCACTGCTCCTCCTAGTGCTCCAGCTGCGTGACGCCAAAAGTTGCACACCACAATGAGGAGTCGTCCAGTACTCCTCCTTGAGATATACTGGCCAACTTGCCTCTTGGGCAGTGACATCAAGGTCAGCAGCCTCCCAAGCAACCCGTACCATCCTCCTTTCGGAGGGAAACATCATTGCAGGTCTGATATCGCCTGCTACAGGCCCTAGACTCAGACTTTTCGACTGGTACCCTAGACCTGGGTCTACCGGACTCCTAAATTTCACACAGCCTGTAAAAGTACTAACATTTTGTCTTCTTCTGCTCGGCCTACCGCTACTCAAGTACTACCCTAAGCTACACGGGCCTACACTACCTCTACTTGAGTGCCTGCCTTTGGACACCATCTTCATCTCCTTGGTTGGCACTGTACCAGGAAGGGCCCAGTCAGGGTGACCAGCATAAAGAAGGATTTCAGGACAGAGTTAGGCATAGCAGTCTGAGGAGCAGAGGCCATCTCTGCTTGTGCGTTGTCTTTTGAAAATCGAGGCAGGGCCCCCTAGTCCTCCATAGCCACCACCAAGAAGGGGTGGTTATAGATGGAGGTCATGGCTATGGTGGACCTCATTGGTTGCTGGCAGTAAGAGGGAGATTCGAATATTGGTTCTGGTTCAGACTATTATATTGACGAATAAGATTGGGGGAGATAAGGAGGAGGAGATTGAGAAGGGGGGTTTGTAAATGGTTTTTTGCTGGTGCACATCTTCTTCTTCATCTTTCTTGCTTTTTTTTTTTTTTTCAAAAGTCCGTGGTGTTGTAGAGGCCAGTCACTGAGTACGCAGTGATCACCTGGAGCAGTAGGCCGCCACCTCCCATCCCATCCTCACGTCAATACTCCTAGCGCACCCCCTATCCTACTATCCTACCTCAGTGTGACCAGCACTCAGGACCATTACCCTACCAATGGGCAGGTAACTTGGACTGAACAGCTGTGATAGGCACCAGGGCTGATCGGTTGCCCAGCCCTGGTGGAAGCGGAATCGGACAAGCCTTGTCGAACGGGAACTTCGGACGCCAGGCCCAAACAATTCTTCTTCTTTCTTTCTTAATTCTTCTTCGTCCTTTGTCCCTTTTTCTCTTTCCAAGTTCTTTCATTTCTCTTGCAATTGAACGGCATTGTCTTTCCTTGTGTATTTGCACTTCGGAATAGCCAGGATCATAACAGTAGGTTCTCTTATCACCACTCGCATAGTGTGCATGCCGAATACAAGACTCGAACACAACCAACGGCTTGGCAAGCTAACACCTAACCATAAGGCTAAGTGGGCTGGGGTGAAAGTGAAGCCCCAAGACGAGTACTTCACCCCACCCCAGCACGGAGATCCCATGGCACGGTGTGGCCTTGCCCCGTGATGTTTCAATTTTTTTTTAAACCACCAGTACTTGGCCCAGCTATGGGCCGCGGAAAAAAACTAGAGTAGAACCGTTTCTAGTCGGATGAATCTGGGCGCTCCTGTAGTAGCCCGTACGTTTCCTTAAATCGTGGCGCGTCAATTGGCACGACTCTAGGAAGTACTGGTGGTTTAAAAGGAGGAAGCAAGAGTACTCACTGCATAGTATTTTACTACTTCAGCCGGAGTTGCACAACCGACAGTCGGTGGCCCTTGATTGGTTGGCACCTACCGGTCAGCAGGGCAAAATAAAAAATAAAATTCAGGGAGTCCATAGCCCCCAATAACCCCACCAATACCCGCATAGTACAGGGTTGTCGAGCCCCAGCCCCGGGGCCCCGGCGGGTGTCCGGGGGTCAGGGGGTGGCCACCCCTGGGCCCGGCTCCGGAGCCCCCCCCCGACACACACAAAGAACAAAATAAAAAAAAATCAAAATAGTGGGGGGTGCGCAGCGAGAGCATGCACCCCGTGGGCAAACCCCCAAAAATGGGGTTTTGTGCCCTACCTTGGACACCCCCAGGGCCACACCCACCACTGGTGGGACCGGGGTGCCTCGGGGGCAGGGCCGGGGGTGGGGCCGGGG